AGTCTCCAAGTAGTCTATACCATAAGTCTGAGTAAATCCCTTTGCAACTAACTGAGCCTTGTACCTTTCAATGGAACCATCAACATTATGTTTCGCAATAAATATCCATTTACATCCAACCGGTTTCTTCCCTTTAGGCTGGTCAACTAGCTCCCAAGTATTATTCCTCAAAAGAGCATCCATTTCAACCTTCATTGCATCTTTCCACTCAGGAACTGATAAGGCCTTCTGCACTGTTCTGGGGATAGGAATATCAACAATAGATGTGAGGAAGGATCTATAAGAGGGGGACAAGTGATCATAGGACAAGAACTGGGAAATGCAGTGGGCTGTGGATGTGGTGCAATGTCGTTTGCCTTTACGGAATGCAATGGGGAGGTCAAGGTCATCCGAAGGAGGTAAGGGCTCAACAATGGAAGGTATCTCAGTGGAACCTAGATCTGATAAAGGAACTGTAGTACCTAGATCTGGATCCGCAAAAGGAACTGGGGCTGGCCTGGACTGTTGATGGCCAAAATCAACCTACTTCCACTGCTTATGATACTCTCAAATTCCGGCACCTCTGACACCCCTCCCCATTACATCCCTCATCACTCAATGGAACAGGTAAAGGAACTTCTGATGAGTTATCCCCACACTCACTACTCTCCCCCTGAGGAGAAACCCTAAGATAATAGGGTACATCCTTGAAGAAAGTAACATCCATAGAGACAAATCTTTTCCTAGAAGTGGATTCATAGCGGCAATATCCCTTATTAGTTTGTGCATAACCGAGAAACATACATTTGGAGGCCTTAGGATCAAATTTGGAACGATGAGGTCCAAGAATCTGAACAAAGCAAGTACAACCAAGGTTTTAAGAGGAATAGTGAACAAGTCTTTATCAGGGTATAGGAGGGTAAATGGAGGCTTCATGTCAAGAACCCATGAAGGAACTCGGTTAATGAGATACACTGCTGTAAGAATAGCATCTCCCCAGAAACGAATAGGCACATTGGAGTTAAACATGATGCTTCTGGCCACCTCCAATATGTACCTATTATTCCTCTCAGCAACCCCGTTTTGCTGTAGGGTATGAGGACAAGTACTTTGTTGAATAATCCCATGGTCAAGCAAATAGGAGGCTAATTGGTTGGCAAAGTATTCTTTCGCATTATCGGATTTGAAGTTTTTGATTTTGACCCCAAATTGGGTTAAAATCATCTAATGAAAGATCCGGGTCAAAGTAGGAACCTCATCTCGAGAACGCATAAAGAAAAATGGGTATAATCATCAACAAACAACAAGAAATATCTATACCCCCCCATAGCAATGATGTGATAAGGACCCCAAACATCGGTATACACAATATCAAAAGGATTATTACTTCTTTTATTACTCAATGAATAAGATGTTCTACAATGCTTTGTAAGCTCATAACTCTCAAATCTCAAATTGGACATCTGAACAGACTTAAATAAATCAGGAAACAAACTCTTCAAAGACCGAAAAGATAAATGACCCAATCGATTATGCCAAAGCATAACCTGACTAACAGACTGAGAAACAAAAGACTTCCTATCTTCATTATCTTCCTAATGTGAACTCTCTCCAAGCAGATAGATCCCATTCGTGTCAAGGCCAGTCCCAATTACCTTCCTTGTCTCCAAGTCCTGAAAAACACATTGCTCAGGGAAAAAGGTTACTGAACAATTCTGATGTTTGGTTATGCTACTGACTGAAAGCAAGTTAGTATTTAAGCTTAGGAACATGTAGAACTGAAGATAAGGAGATGGCATTAGACAACTTGATGTCTCCCTTGCCAGAAAGGGGAACAAGGGAACCATCAGCAATGGACACCTTATCTCTGCCAGAAGATAAGTAGTGATAGGTAGTGAACAGTGATGGCAAGCCAGTCATATGGTCAGATGCACCTGAGTCTATTACCCAACAATGTTCAGTGTTACCTGGAGCTGAAGCATGATAAGCTGAGGCCCGAGTACTTGAATGGGCAAAAGCTGATGGCGGCTGAGATGATTGAGCTGAATT